TCATATTTGTTATTTATATATTGACATATCTATGAATTATATAAGTGATCATGATAATCTTAAATGTATTTCCTAAGTGTATTACTATATTACGACATAATCCGTTTATGTATGCAGGTATTTGACCTAAATTTATTTGCCAGTTATTAAAAAATTATGTTGTTTTCAATTTCAATTGCTTTATTAAAAACATCATTACAGCAGCCCACGTTATAGTTCAATAATTTGAGGAAAGGGTTATTTTTATTACTTTTTGCATACATATCATATTAATACAGTTAACTTCACAAAGTGACTTACAGAATTTCATTATTTTAGGTTAGCCCCTTATTCTCTTAATCAACCTTTTATGGTTTTTTAAACCTTACAAAAGTAATAAATGAACATGCTTAATTTCATTTAATACTTTGTTCAAAAATATAATAATAAAAATTATAGAAATATAAATGTATTAATGTGGTATTTTTCAACAATGGTAGTTTTGAAAAATACCACAAATTATATACCATTAAATTTTTTATCTGGTATACTTAATATATTTTTAAAAGAAACAATAAACCTCTATTTTAATTCTCAATTCTCATCCAACTTTAAAAAAAAAGTAGGTTTTCAATCTATTGTAACATTTTTTTATGTATGTTCAGTGACAATTCTTTACCAATTGTCTGATCTTAATGATTCTTCTTGGAGACCTCAGGTGTAAGTTTGTCCAAGATCTGCTGATGGGAATTTCCAAAGGCATCAGTCAAACATATTATGAATGAATAATTCTTTACCATATTAACCACTTTCAAATATCAAATATAGAGAACCGGAGACCATTTTTACTGGAAACGAGGCATTCTATCTCCGTCCTCACGGGTGACAACGCATCTGCATTTTGATTCTTAATCGAAGATAGATGTAGATGTCTATGGGCCACAGCAACCACTTACCATCAGGTGGTCTGTGTGCTCGTTTGTCACCCTAATCCAATAAAAAAAAAAACAGAGTATTAATGAGATAACCACTAAACACTAGTAGTGACCTCCAGGGTTAACCAATATGACACTCTATGATCGTGAACACTATAGAAAACTATAAAAATTACTGTAATCAACATTAACAGTGACTTAATATTCAGGTATGTCATTCCCATTCATTTTTATAGTATTTTATAGTGTTAACGATTGTAGATAGTTGTCGTGGCTAGGTCCCTCAGGTTGTTAAATTTGCCTCCATAGTGGGAGTTAATTCAGAAACTGATAATGACGAAATCGGGGGATACATTTTAGTGTTGCAGCCACATATTATATATCATCTACATCCAAAATTTAATTAAACCACTGGATAGCTAAAGGATCAAAGAATTCATTGTTCAATGGTGAATTCATGTTGAGTGAGAATGTCACAGTTCTATCTGCCGTTGTATGGTCATTTCGTTATGTTATGTATTAACGAAAAATATGCAGCTATAGCCACAACCCGATTTTTTGTTTTACACTGTTACACTATCATTGCAACCATCACAAGTCCACTGCTGAATGAAGGCGCCCCCAATAGATAACCATAAAGTACTGTCCTGAGCCAGCTGCACCCATCAACTACCTGTATGTTTAATCAAGTTGTTACTACTTCTAGTGAGGGGTCGCCTAACACTGCGCTTGCCAGTATGAGGCCTGCCACTTGAGAACCTTGCTTAACCATTGGTCACACCTTTGTAACCAAAAATAGGAATAAATGATAAAAAGTCATTGGCCTATAATTAATACCACTCGTCAAATGTTAAACTAAGCTAACCAACAATTCATATTAGCAAATATATTACTTGCTAATATGAATTGTTGGTTATAACATTTACAAAATAGCATTACTATTTTTAGCTTTTATATTTACTTGACAAAACATCTCATTACCTCTTCAGTCACCCTGGGTTCGAGTTTGCAACGTACATCCTGCCATGTCAAAGTGTTAAGATGTGAAGCTTGGCCTACAAAAAGGACCGGTTGCTGTTCAGGGTCCGAGGTTGTAAGGCCCCAGCGAAACTTGACATTCACTGAGGCATTTGACATCCTGCAAACTGTAACTTTATGTGATTATTGTGGTCAGTAATATCCTTTGAATACCACTGAAAGTGCATGCAGACAAAATAGGAATAGGACTGCAAAACTCTTATTTGCTTTGATTTTTAAGATAAGTAAAAACCCACATATTGGAACATATCAATATAAATAAAATGATAGAAGTTTGCAGTTGTGAGCACACCATGGTTTTCTAAGTTTTGTTTCTTAGATACTTGGCCCTTATCTAAAAAAAAGTTATTGCAATATCTTCATTTGATGTTTAAAGTTTCAAGAAACAAAGATTTTTATAAGCACTACGTGTTCAGTGATGTGTGTTTTCTTGATATATCAAGCAACACAGACGGAGTCATGGGTATCAGCACGTAGCTAAATAAAAATTTGACATGAACCAATAAGCAAAGTTACCAATGTTCCACAAAGTCTGCTGTTTAAGAATATATTTAAGATGGCCTCAGACTTTATATCAGATTTAATAGATTCCTTTCCTGATAAAGGAATACTAATTATAAATAAGAATGATTTGTAAAACTATTGAAATGAATGAAAAACTGAAGGTTAGCTAATATATATATAATATTTTTTTGCCAGTAGTACAAAAAAGATTTAAAAAAAATTGTTGAATCAATTGTATTCTAACTTGTGAGCAATACACTCACACTTTTAAAATATTACATTAATATGTATTATTACCTCAAGAGCTCAATTGTCATAAAAGTATATAACACAAAAATGTCCCTTGCAAGCTTATTATGTAAGTTACATGGTACTTGATAATGAATTTTAATGCATTGTACTTTATCCTGCAAAAATTTATTTAACATTTCATTTTTTTGATATGCTCTTATGTTCGACATCTCCGCACAGGGTTCCAGGTTCGAATTCTACATGGAACAAGTGCTTACATTGCCTATAGATAAGTCTTATATGTTTGGTCTATGTGAAATTTAAGTGTCTCCATAATATGGCAGGAAATTAATTACAAACTATTAAAAAACAAAAACAACTTAATTATATTAAAAAGCATTTTTTTTTATATAGGATTAGGGTGACAAACGAGCACACAGACCACCTGATGGTAAGTGGTTGCTGTGGCCCATAGACATCTACATCTATCTTCGATTAAGAATCAAAATGCAGATGCGTTGTCACCCGTGAGGACGGAGATAGAATGCCTCGTTTCCAGTAAAAATGGTCTCCGGTTCTCTATATTTGATATTTGAAAGTGGTTAATATGGTAAAGAATTATTCATTCATAATATGTTTGACTGATGCCTTTGGAAATTCCCATCAGCAGATCTTGGACAAACTTACACCTGAGGTCTCCAAGAAGAATCATTAAGATCAGACAATTGGTAAAGAATTGTCACTGAACATACATAAAAAAATGTTACAATAGATTGAAAACCTACTTTTTTTTTAAAGTTGGATGAGAATTGAGAATTAAAATAGAGGTTTATTGTTTCTTTTAAAAATATATTAAGTATACCAGATAAAAAATTTAATGGTATATAATTTGTGGTATTTTTCAAAACTACCATTGTTGAAAAATACCACATTAATACATTTATATTTCTATAATTTTTATTATTATATTTTTGAACAAAGTATTAAATGAAATTAAGCATGTTCATTTATTACTTTTGTAAGGTTTAAAAAACCATAAAAGGTTGATTAAGAGAATAAGGGGCTAACCTAAAATAATGAAATTCTGTAAGTCACTTTGTGAAGTTAACTGTATTAATATGATATGTATGCAAAAAGTAATAAAAATAACCCTTTCCTCAAATTATTGAACTATAACGTGGGCTGCTGTAATGATGTTTTTAATAAAGCAATTGAAATTGAAAACAACATAATTTTTTAATAACTGGCAAATAAATTTAGGTCAAATACCTGCATACATAAACGGATTATGTCGTAATATAGTAATACACTTAGGAAATACATTTAAGATTATCATGATCACTTATATAATTCATAGATATGTCAATATATAAATAACAAATATGATAAAAATAAGGTAAAATGTAAAGCGCTAAGTTCAAATTGCTTACCTCTTAAGTGTTGAAATACGTCGTGCGGACTGCAAATGTAGTATAATTAAAATTGTGTTTTAAACGGTTCGTTGCGCATTGAAGTAATAACACAATATAATTTTAAAAACGTATGGGTACAAAGAATTATTTAAAGAAAATCCAATTTAGATATAATTCTAATCAACTTGCCAAAATGATGCCAAATCATTGTTTGATGTTTGACAGAATTCGATTCGTTTTGAAATTATCGATATGACACGACAAAAGTTTTTAGAGAAATAATATTTTTTTAAATATTTCGATTAATTTTCTTAATATTACTACAGTTAGTCTTTGTTGTGTCTCATTGCAACCAAACCTAGAATTTTTTCTAGAGATTTTAGAACTAATCAAAAATAAAAGATACTCGACTCGATTCGTCTTAATCGAGTGGTTTATACTCAAGCCTTAGTATTCTGTGGCTCTAAGGCTCTAAGCTTGGACAAAAGCTCTAAAAATAGATGGAGGATTATAATATCGCTCAAAATTATTAAAGAATTTTAAATTTTAATTAATTTTTATACATAGACTAAGGCCGGCCTCATACATTCAGAATTCCATGTCGGGTATCCGTTTCGGAATGAGGATCCGTAACGTTTTTAGTTGAGAATGCAGATTTATAGATCTAAGAAATCCTTAACATACAGTGCAAAAATGTTTGTTCTACGACAAAAATTAACGAAGTTATGATCAAATTACTAGCGAAGTTCACTGACGGCCCGGCGCGGTAGCTGTGACGTCACTATGACGGTCTTCGCCAGTTAGCCGTTGGCAGTAATAAGGCGCGCAGTGTTTTGTTTGGTTAATTGTGACTTTGAAACAAATTAAGTGTCCGATTTGTGTCTAATTTACCTTTTTAACCATGTATAAATATTGTATAGTGCCGAAATGTATAAACACTTCTATTAAAACACCAGAAAAACTATTTTTTAACGTACCGAAAGACCCCAACTTAGTAAAACAATGGTATTCCATTGTAAAAAGAGATGATAAAACTACACCCTCTGCCGAGGCTACAAGAAATTGCTGTGAAGATCACTTCGATGTACGTACCTACATATCTATTATACCTATTATTTAGTTGATATGGAAATAAGTTGGTACCTTATGTTACGTGTAGTGTACCTGTATATTCTCTTATTTTAAGCCTGCTGTATTAATAAAAACATACCTATTTACTTTTTTTAAGTTTTGTTGATAAAACTACGCACTAACGTATCTACTAACGTAAACCTATATATTCGCCCGTTCCCATTTCTATGTATTACTAGCTTTTGCCTGCGGTTTCGCCCGCGTTGAATTCAGTTTGTCACAGAAAGTTTTTATCTCACCGCTATTTCATCCCCGTAAAGTTTTATTTTTGTGATGAAAAGTAGCCTATATCCATTTTAAGATCTCAGATCGAAGTCATTAAAATCGGTTCAGATGTTTATATGTAAAAACATCGTATTTCGTATTCCAGGGTCAAAACAATGACATAGAGACGTACTCGGGTAAAAAGCAAAGAGTGAATGATAATATTCTATAATCATTTACATAATAGCGGTGAATTTATGTATCTGCCTCAGCTATGCCTTATTGTTAGAAGCAAATAAATTAATACTTATATACATTTTTATATTTCAGTTAGAAGAAGATATGGAAAATTACGTAAAGTTTAAGTTACTTGGAGGAAAGCTTAAACTGAAGAAGGGAGTTTTGCCTCATAAGTTTGAATGCCAAAAGCCCCAAAAAAAGAAAATTGACCGACCGGGTTTTTTAAAAACGACAAGACATAGAATATTTTGAAAGAGTTTTAAGTAGAGATATTGGACGCGAAGACCTGTTGTTGCATTCCATTGAAGTAGTAGAGTGTGAGAATCAAGACTCAAATAACCTAAGCACCTAAATGAGGCCAATCAGGTTTTAAAAAGAAACCACAATTTTCAATAACTACTTTCCTTGTTTTGGCTATTTCTGCTCTGACATTGGATTCCAATCGTTTGCCTCTTTTCATAGACAGAGTCTCTGGTACAGAGGCACCAAATATTTGTTCAATCAAAGCACCATCAGGAGTCTTGCAATGTGTGGCTTCGTGAACTTTAGACGCGGTTATTCTACAATACCTTAACTCATGCCATAACGGTAAACTAGCTTGACAAACTGTTGCTTCCTCTGCTTTGTGATATTTCTCTATGGTGATTTTAGTAGAACAATAATCAATAAAATTATCTGCACTATTTATATTATTGCCTTCATTTTTGTATTGATGAATGAGGTTATGCAAGGACAATTTTTTATACTGATTCTTTGTAACGTATACTGATAACTGATTTTTGATAGGATTTTCCTTTAGGCTTTGCACAACTGCTAGGAAAAACTGATTTGAATTGGTGTTATCAGTATTTTTATCTTCAGTAGTAACTGAGCTGTACACATCATCGCTGGAGCTAAACGCAAGTGTGAGTAACGATCCAAGAGCGAGTCTTATCCGACACTATTCCGATGATATCCCGGACGTCAGTATGAGCGAAATTAGAATGGCTCTCCAGCACCTGAAAAACGGCAAGGCCCCAGGCGAGGATGGAATTACAGCGGAGCTTCTGAAAGCGGGTGGAAAACCGGTACATGAAGTCCTTCAGTAGCTCTTTGATTCCGTCCTCCATGGTGGCATGGTGGAGCAGAAGTGCGGTGGTCTTGTTCTTCAAGAAAGGTGACAATGCTCTCTTGAAGAACTACAGACCGATTTCCCTTCTGAACCGCGTCTACGTACTGTTTTCGAGAGTCATTACGAATCGTCTCGCGCGCAGACTAGACTACTTCCAGTCTCCCGAACAAGCCGGTTTCCGAAAAATATCCCGAACAAGCCGGTTATCGAACGTAGATAAATAAGCAGCACCCTTACCTTTGTAGTTTCCAACCACGGATTTCAGCGCTGGTGAACTTAGAATGATTACTTAGATAATCAAATACCATGAAAGAATCCACTTTTGGACGGTTATCTGATTGAGTTTGCACAAAACCAGCTTCTACTTTATTAGCACTCATATTATGTACTTTTAATACTTAAACAATCACAAAATTATACGGTAACAACGCTTTATTCAAATAAATTGCTAAATATAGTGCCCAACCGCGTCTCCGCACTCCATCGAATCGTGAACTACCACAGAATACATGTATGTACTACTATGATGCGTTCGTTTCCGTCACAGTGACGTCACGCGGACCTGCGTACATTGACTTTTAGCGACAGTAACGGCCTATGTTTATTACTTAATATCTTCGTAAGTAATGGTCCGATTTGGCTAATTCAAAAAGATATATAATTCTTATCTCATAAAGAATAACATGGATACTAGTTTTATTGAATTTTCTATAACTTTACTGATCCTCATTCCGTTTATTTCCCTTCGGAATAACAAGGTTCAATTGAGAGAGGCTAGCCCAGGGGTCGGCAACCTTTTGAGTCGGAAGAGTCAAAAATTACAATTTACAAAATTTCAAAGTTTTTAAAGAGCCACAAATTTTTTTTTGCCAACCATAAATAGTACTTACATAAATAAACTTTTTTGATAAAAAACTAATCTATTTATTCATAAGAATTATTATTTAAGTAAAAAATTAAAACAATTTTGTAAGTTGGCTGCTTATTTCAATTTTAATTATATTCATGCAAGAGAACGTTTGTTCGCACGAATATGTCGATCCGAAGTTAGCACTCCAAATGCCAACTTCTTCATCTCACTGTAGTAATCTGGAAGACTATTCCATGCGTCGAATATAAGTGCCTCAACTCGTGGCATTTCTTTTAAAGCTGTTCATTTTTGTTGCATTACGTACATATATTTCTGGACCTCCAATTCTTTCAACTTGCTTTTCAACTCTACAAAGTTTTACTTTTTAAAATGATCAATTGCATTTCTAGAGATCCAGTATCAACTCCAAATGGCTCAGAATGGATCGATTTTTAAATGTTTTTATTTTATAAAATGAATAATATTTGCGTATGTAACTAAAGAGCCGCAGCTTCACATCCGAAGAGCCGCTGGTTGCCGACCCCTGCGCTAGCCATTGAGTCTAGATATTCCTTTATTATTGTATTGTTACGCGCCACTATTAATGTCTTGTACATGGCAACACTAGTTACACTAGCGCCCCCTAGTGTCGAGTAAATGAAAGTATTGCGCGCCACTATTAATGTCTTGTACATGGCAACACTAGTCACACTAGCGCCCTCTAGTGTCGAGTAGCAGAACTAGGAGAGTCGAGATCCTTCCAGAAATTTCGGGACCGATATGTACTCGAACATTCTAGATGTCGCTACAGTAGAAGGTTCTGGAAACTATCTGAGGCCCTATATAAGACCGGTATAGACCACGACCGGGGCAGTATTGAATTGGCGATACAAGAGAATACTTCGAAGCGAAATAACGGCGAACTGTGTTTTCTTGTTAGTGTGATTTTAGATTGTAATTAGTGTTGTGTAATTAAAGTGTCAATTTTGGTAATTCAATCGGCAGTTTTTAATTGTCTCGAACCCCAAGCTCGTAACAATTGGTGTCAGAAGTGGGATCAAATATGCCGATTTTACCTAAAGACGACACGGAGGGTATCCGTACCCGAAGTCAACGCCAACAGGAGACGGACCAGAGACGATTTGGTAATGCAACGCCGCAAACGTCGGAGGGCCAGTTGCTAACCACGGAGGCTGGCCCGTCAGCAGCTCCTGCATCTGCAGCACCTGACTTGGGTGCTCTGATGATGATGCTGCAGGATCAGGCTCGCCGACAGGAGGAACAGGCCCGCCGACAGGAGGAACAGGCCCGCCGACAGGAGGAACAGACCCGTCGGCTGGAAGAGCAGCTGCAGCGCGGTATGGAAGAACAGATGCTCCTCAGGAAGGACCTTCACGCTACCTTCGGGAAAGAGATAAAGGAGGTGAAGGATAGGGTTGCTCAACATGACAACCGCCTGTCGGAAGCTGAAACCCGAATCGACCAAGTGAACAATCGGGTTGACAACGTGATGGCTGATGTGAAGAAAACGCTGGACGACATCAAACTTGGGGATGGAATCACAGCTCCCGTGGTAGCTACAACACCTTCGCTACGTGGATTCAAAGTGCCGCCGTTCGACGGGAGTTCTTCCTGGTCGGCCTACAAAATCCAGTTCGAGGCTGTCATGAAAGCGAACGGCTGGAATAAAAGTCAGGCCATGACTGCTCTCACCCTAGGCCTACGCGACCAGGCCTTAACTGTTTTGGAAGCGCTCGGTAAGGAAGTGACTTACGAGCAGCTCCTTGAGGCATTGGAGGCGAGATATGGCGATGCTCACCTGGAACACGTCTTTCGTGCGCAGCTCAAAGATCGCGTGCAACGCAGTAACGAAAACCTGCAGCAGTGGGCCCTTGAGGTGGAGAAGCTGGTTCGAAAAGCGTACCAGTCTGTACCTGTGCTCATTGTAGGGAACCTGGTGCAGACTTTCATCGACGGCATCCGCGACCTTGAAGTCAGAGCTGCTGTGAGGCTCGGGCACCACCAGACGCTTAAGGACGCCCTGACCCATGCACTGGAGGTGGAAGCCGTGCGGCAGGATCATCGTTCCCACCGCGTCAGGGAGGTTGCAGCAGCTACAGTTCAGGACCGCAATAAGGGCTATAACCCTAGGTGCTACGGCTGTGGGGAAAGGGGCCATCATCGATCCAGCTGCCCTAAACGAACTGTAGAAAGGGAAGGTGATCGATCTCGAGAGGGTAGTGCGGATAATAGCACCGCCCAGCAGCAGCAGGGAAACGAGTGAAAGCCAGGACTGCGGGGCGGGTGCTGGCTGATGTTAAAAGAGCCCCAAGGATTTCGATCTCACAAACCCATGATGGGAACAGCCTAATCATCAAGGGCGAAGTCAACGGAACGCCGTGTAAACTGACCATAGACACTGGAGCCTCTCGCACGGTTGTCAGTTCCCAACTTATAAGTCGGTTCCTTGGGGACTCCGCATACAACCGAGAACGCATTAATTTGGTGACAGCCACCGGTCAGCGCATACCCGTCCGTGGAGAGAAGGAGATGGAGTTGAAGCTAGGCAACATGATCTACCTGCATAATGTCATCGTGGCTGATATAATGGACGACTGCATCCTGGGCCTAGACTTTATGAGGAAGAATTGTTGTGAGATCGACGTTAAGCAAGGTGTTTTGAAATGTGGACAAGAAGAACTTTTCGTGGAAGGGGCGTTACCAGGGAATGTGTACAGCCTTAAGAAGATTGTTCTTCCGCCGAGATCGGAAACGATTGTGCCGGTTAGTCTTCCTCGGAGTCCTGGGCAAGCCCATCGTTGTGTACTCGTGGAAAGGGTAGACAATGACCTTCCATGGAAAGTGGCTCGAACCTTGGTCAGAACCACCGACATCTCAGGAGTACGTGTGTTGAACCTTTGTGATCAGGAACAGATTATAGAAAAAGGCACATTGGTTGGTACTAGTGAGGAAGTGGATTGGTTGCGTCGATGCGAATATCTATCGACCGGGACCCCCAGCAAGGATGGACAAACGATAGTGACCACACTTTTGGAAGACTGTCGCAGCGTTCTTTCCCCGAATGAAATGGTCAAGGCGAAGAAGTTGTTACTCAAGTACGCCAATGTTTTCTCGTCAAACGAAGCTGACATAGGAAAGACTGGCTTAGTTCAACACAAAATAAACACAGGACAAGAATTGCCTATTCGTCAGCGGCCAAGAAGATTGCCTGTAGCACGTGAAAAGGAAGTGGAAACCATGATTGAGGGAATGGTGAAGGATGGTGTTATT